GCATATCAGCTCTGTGTGTCAGGCACTGGTCAGGTAAAACTCCGGACACTCATAAAATTGTTATTTACCTGTTCTGTAACCTTGGAGCCAAACCCATTCTTGACAGCGTAACGGTCGCTGTAATACTGTGTAACACGCATTGTGAAGTTGTATAATCTTGATTATTGTGATGAGAAATTACAGATATATACACAGTGTACATAATCGCATACAAGCCTTCCGTATTTTTGTCATTCCGTAATTTTGATCTACAAATGATACCAAATTGCACAGTTGTGCGGATAGAAGCGCACAACGGGGCGAACGATTGCTAAATTGCACAGTTGTGCGCACCATGTGTGGACGATGTGCGGAAGGTGTGTGAACGATGTATGCACGGTGTGCGCACACTGTTTTTGGTGCGTTGTGCGGTCCCACAACTGTATATATATCACGATATCATAAAATATTTTTCTAATCATTTTTAATGGTTATATTGATATAACTTTCAATACAAAGTCACAATGACCTTGACCTTTGAACAGTCAACCAAAAAAATTTAACAGGTTTGATTTTTTGACAAAAATTTGAAATATTTCTAATGCTTAAGTGTAAAAGCACAATTAAACAGTCCATAATTTTCTTACATAAGGTAGTTACATATACCGTGACCTTTGACCTTAAACTTAGTATACACCTTTAATGAATATGTTTTTGATGTTAACAATATTGATGTTATATTTATACATACAGTCGAACCTCGTTATCTCGAACTCGAATAACTCGAAGACCCCGTTTAACTCGAAGTATTTCATCGGTCCCGGCCAAAACTCTTCTTAATCTTAGTAATAAAAACTCTGATAATTCGAACTCTGAAAACTCGAAAAACTTGGATATCCCGAAGTGAAACATCGGTCCCAACAACGAAAATCCTACACAAAAATATCTCCTACATCGAAGTTTCTTAAGATTCACAAGTCTATCATATATTCTTTATTTATTTGATACGTGCTACGGTAAACATCGTTCTCATAGAGCAGCTTACGCTCGGTCTTAATTACTTCGATTAAACTTATGGCATTAAAATGTGTTTGACTGTAAAAACACTTTGTACAAATAAAGAAACAAACTTCATCAATGTTGATTAACAACAATTAGTACTTACTGCGAGCCCGTAAACAATTTGAATAGCACTTTATTTACACCAAAGTTGCCAACACATTCTAACCGGAAAATGGGTCACAGTGTGCGGTCATGCGTAAATAAGCTCCACAGTAAAAATCACAACCCAGGACTGGTTCGTTGGTTTATGTTTTTACAGGAGCTTGTATGGCACTGATAATTAATTGAGAGATTATAGGAACAATACGATAATTATTGTTGACTACGTCGTGTTGAGGAGATGTCAAGTGTCATTGGGGTCTATAAATGTGGATATGTTTCCTGATTAACTCATACCCATTTCGGAATGTCGAAATCAACTGAGCAATCCAACGTGTACGCTCCAATACAGTGATTTGTATAAAGACTTGCGCACTTTCATTTCCGCATTGAAATTTCTATCAGCATAGCACGAGGTCGGAGACAGCATGTGTGTTTATTGTAACATTAATTAATTAATGAATATGATTATGAATAAGTTGTT